AACTCAAGAGAGCAAAATGGAAATTTCACGAGACATCAGGAGTACAAGGTAATCTCACTAAATGTTAATAGGTTGCACAGAGCAGCTAAAAGATGTAAAGCTATAACAAAGATGAAAAGCAAAACGATGCAGGTAATATTTTGGGAGGAATTACATCGCCCTCACAAAGAGCATGGAAGTGGGATTTTGAATGCAGCAAAGGCTGTTCTGCAGAGTAAAATTGTAGCCTACTCCTTTGAGCTCCTTTGCAGCTCCAAAGAAAACTACAGGAATAAGACTGTGTATAAAAGGAAAGGGTTAAGTGGGACATCTCCAGGATGACAAAACAGAGAAAAGAGCAAGATCAGTTAAACACAGATATGATACACTATCAGTTCTATCTAGACTAACCTAGAATCCAGAACTAATGCAGATTATCCTGAAGGATTATTCTGGATATAAATTAATTATCTTACAATATGCACACATGATATATAGATATATATATATATATATATATATATATATATATATATATATATATATATATATATTTCATGTATGTATATTGTAAGATAATTAATGTTTTAAATGAGATAATTGTTTAATATAATACTTAAGTATATCTTTATCCAAGACCATAATAAACGTATAGTCCCATGAATAAATCAATAAAATGAGCAATTAGTAGGATCTCAATATGTCCATTAGACGTGTAATCAGACGAGTAATCAGACACTACTAATTTATTATAGAAGCTATTAAAATGAAAATATCACCATGTCTTTTTCCGTCAGTACAAGAAGATATTCTTCCAAATCATTTTAGAGAATGGGATAAGAAGCACTCTGGTTTATCTGGAATGGAAAAAAAGATTTGGGATAAAGTCTTCAGCTTTCAGCCTTACATCTTTCCAAAGAAAAAGGAGGGAGAGCACTCCCATGTCTGCAAGATTATTTCTTGACAGTTGACAGCAGTGACTTGCTTTTGTAACCCAGAATACACATTCCAGTGGAAAAAACAATTAAAGTCAATGGACTGGAATTGTTAATGAAATGTATTTAAAGAAAAAATTAACTTTTATATTAATACTGGGAGAATGCAATTGTTCATGTAGAATTCTATGGTGAAGAGAAGACAAATACAACTACATAAGTCCTGTCTCATTTGCTGCACTTGTTGCCCTGCGTTCCACATTTGTGTGTATCGCAATGACCGCAAGGCTGTTTCTCATTTTGCTGTTCAAAGGGCCACTCATAAGTGCCCTCCATGCGCCCTCAGTGCGGCCTTTGGCAAGGACCGCATTAATGAAGCTTCAGCAGTGGCCTCTTACCCAAAATTTCTTAAGGTACAGTCTAGGACCAATCCGAGTGACAGGGTTTGTTTACAGCTGTTGGACTAACATGATGGAGAAAATATTTAGATGTGACCTAAAATACGTTTGTTTTTTAATTTACCATGTCATTGAGCTGCAGTGTGCTTGTAATATATATTGAACCACTGTAGATGAACAAATTAGTGCAATAAATAAATAAATAAATAAATAAATAAATAAATAGTTTTCCTCTGGGTATAGTACATATATAGCCTGTGCACAAGTCTGTGCTAAAATGCACACTTTCAAAGTCAGTGCCCTCGAGGTCTGTTGCCCTCTATGTCACCAAAGTGCAGACTTTGGTTAATGGGCACCTTTCAGGGCAGGGTGTAGTGAATTTGTTGGTAATTTGTTTGTTTTAGTCTGTAAGTAAGTGCAGTTTTTTCTACTGTACTTTTGAACTAGATATAGATTAGAAATTGTACAAAGAGATGGTTAAATTGTAATATTCAATAACATCAATTATCAGCCCAAGGCTAGTTTTTCTCCTGTTTTATCTAAACAAACAATGCAGTAAATAACTCAATGTAAAAAGAGATACTTCTTTTGCATCTAATCCTTTTTACCTTCATTCAGTCCCTCAGTCACCATTTCCACTCGTGTTCTTCCCTCCCACTATTCCCTCACTATCGTCTCACTAATCGTCACTCTCTTTTGCTCCAGTCATCTGTGTGAGAGGGACAGCATCATTTCCCACTCCCCACAATCAGCCAAACCGCAGTCTAACAAGCCAATTAAGACTTCAGTCTCCATGGTAACCTAATTACACAGACCAATCAGGCAAGAATATGAGAGAGACAGAGAGAGAGAGAGCGAGAGAGAGAGAGAGGAAGGGACGAAGGGCCTAAAGGGGAGCACTGAGCAAAAACATGAGACAAAAAATTGCTCTCTTGCTTTTCTCCTCTGCTCCCCTGTTCTTTTATTCTATGTCGGATCTGAATGATTAAAAATGGAATGAGATTAGCAGAGATGTGGACTGCACCTCTAGAGGCTCCTAGAGCTTTGAGTAATGAGGCATGATTCACACTCCACAGCTCTCTCAGCTAGCATCAGTTACTGGCTCTTTAGCCTAGTGCCATCACTCAGCATGGGGGCCAGGCTACACAGTGCGTCAGGCTATTAGCTGTTAGCTCAGACTGGACTACAAGTCTATCTACAGCTCCAAGAGGAACAGGGCTATGAGAAGAGAACATAAACTTTCTGTGTGTGGCTACTTATTAAGCACACATGCCTGACATTTTAGCAGAATGCCTTTTGACCGTACATGTAAATGAGGTTGTTGGTTTGGGCTCTCTAATTGGACCCAAATGTGTTAATAGTGTATTGATGAGACTAAACATCTGTACTCCACGCTTTTCTAAACTCATATCATCATGCTCAAAATCATCATTCACACCACACACGCACAAAATCCCTGAACGAGCCCAATCTATGAAAGCGGCCTTCAGCAAACCCAGTTTTTAAGCTAACAGTAACCATCATGGAAAAAATGGTCTTGAAACACTGTACAACATCTGTCATTTACAGTGACAGGTTAATAGTGGGGTAACGTAGTACTTAATGGGGAGGGTGTATTTTTACATCGTGCACACTCTACTGGGGGGAGAGCCCCTTCAATAAGTCTCTCAGTCTCTGTTGACAGTTGTGTTTATGACACAGGACCAGAAGCCAGTGCGCATGCATGTGATTGTGTATGTGTGGCTCATGATTAAGCAGGCCAGTGTTTTGGTTGGCCGATTGGTCAGTCTGGCTAGTCTGTGCTGGAAAGGACAGCATTACTAAACACCACTCCTCCGCTAGTGGGGTCTCCCCACTGCCAAGAACAACATTACAGTATGAGCTCCACTCGGAAAATAGACCTGCACAGTTTGTGTGCAGAAGGGGAACGCGAGGGCTTAATTGCAGGGCCTAATCAGAACTTGAACGACGAGAAATCCATCACATTCCAGCAGGATGGAAAATGAGTCTAACTGTTCAGTGGAAGAGCAGACGACTGGAACAGAGCAACTACATGGAGCAAACGCAAGAGCAAAGAATACTCTTTGCTAGACGTTTCTATTTTGTTTAGTATTCGAAAAACAATAGCAATGCTATCCATAAAATTCATAAGTAAAACATACTTAGAAATGACAAAATATAGCTATAGTCTTCTTGGTATTCACTGATAGTTTCATTTCTAGTTCAGTAAAAATTGCTTTATTAGATTCAAACAGGAGCTACACTATATAATTTAAGCAACTAACTATCCACAATGTTCATAACAAGACCTAGGAAAATGACCCAAGTGAGTGGTTCTGGAGCACAGCTGGACAAAAATGCGTAAGAACCGCAGCCAGTGAAGAAAAGGAAAGAGATGGAGTGCATTCGTGTGCTCTGGGGATCAAACTGTGAGTCAGTCAGCGTGTCCTGTTTGACACTGAGATTTCCCACTGCCATCCAACCATCATCACTCACAGTAAAGGGACTGCAAGCCTCCCAGTGACGAGGGCACGGCTGCAGCAGTGGAAAAAACGAGCATCCTCCTGGGTGGTTTATGAAGGCTGGAGTTTTCGGCATGCTCTATGAAAACTGCGAGCAAAGCGTTCCAGGCTTGTTGACACAGGGAAACATATTTCTGTCGGCACTCCATCAATATTTATGGCCAGACTCGCACCAAAGCGAGAGGCAGTTAAACTAATCAACAGCCCTGTGCCACTCTTTCACACACACATGCTTACACACACACACACACACACACACACACGCACACAGGAAAAGTGTATGAACATTTTGCATGTGTGCAAACATATGCATTGTGCTGACCAGTGGAGGGAAACGGAGGATGAGGAAGACACAGTGATTGGCAGAATGTGCGTAAACAGATACCAGCCACATTACTGCCATAGCATGCAGCATCTGTTCCTGTTAGTGTGCTAGCCACATATAACAATGAGACAACACTTCCAGAACAGTGGCTCAACCCTGACAGGGAAGCATACAGCTGGCACTTTGCCAGAACATTCCTGTCCCGCCCTTCCCAACCAATATCAAGGGCAATGATAATGAAAGGTAAATCACAGCTGGGAGAAGGTCACTTTATATATGTCTGTGCATGAGTGTACTGTCAATTGATTTAAAGCCACTCGGATGTGCGCACATAAATCAAGACTAAAGACATATAGACATTAGTCAATGAGCACATGTGACTGTACTTATTCTCCTTCGTTCTCCCGTTGTCGCTACGTAAGACTTTCATACTGACTCGATTCTCCTTCTTAACCCCTTAAAATCCCAGGCTTCGTACGTACTAAGGCTTATTATTCAGTAACTACAGGGGTTTCAATGCAAACTGGCTGAGCTATTCTTAAGTTATAGATGCGTATAGGTGGGCCTGGCCATTCAAGGGGTTAAATCCAATTTATAGTGTCCACATTGCAAGTTGCAAGTGACCAAATCCAATTTATATGGCAACATTGTAGTCACATTTGCGCATATATTCACATTGACAGTCATAGTAACAAAACAAATTGAATTTGAACTTAAAACCACATTTGGAAAAAGCTGTATTACATGTGTTTTTATTTTTTTGCTGTTGAAATGGAATGAATGGAAACTGGATGTGTCAAAAAATTGATATGTCTGAACAAAGCCTAACATCATCTCTGACCTGGTGATGAGGCAACAGTCATGGATAATGCTTTCCTCCACATACACCCCTATCTCCTCCTGTGTGTGTACAGGCCGCCGCTCATGGCTCCAGGTGAGTGTGAAGGAGGGGTCCAGGTAGGAGGCGGTGCATTGCAAGGGCAGACGGTCACCTCGGAACACAAGCTGCCTCTGAGACGGGATCAGCTGCAGCAGGGGCAGCTCCAGAGGGGCATCTGAAAAACATCCAAAAACAAACACAAACAGTGCATCATGTCATGGAATCCCATCTAGTTCCCTGGCTTTGTTCTTCTTTTTTACTACTTTTTTTTATCATCAACTGTGTCTAATTCTGGAGCCTTGTCTCTTTTTTTGCTATTAGTGTTCACACCTGTATCTATCATTGCAAAGTCATGTGCATGGCTAACCCAGCGTAATTCTGAGCTGGTTTCCATAGATTAGTTCTTATATTCCTTGGTATACACTTATAACTTAAGGTTCTTGGACTGGATGGATGGTCATAGGAAAAAAATTAATTGGTAAAGGACTTCTACATGATGTAGAGGTTCGTTAAAACATGTTCTTTACACTTGCACATTGATTTACAATCCACTTAAAGGTTCTCTAGGAAACCAGAAGAGGTTCTTTTATGGCATCGCTCCAAAGGATCCTCGTTGACACCTTCATTTTTAAGAAAGTCGTTCTAGTTTTCTGTAGTTTCATATCTCTGGTCTTCCTTTGTTGTATTTTGTGGTTGTCTGGATTTGACTTTGCTGCCTGTTTCTCTGTTTTTGTATGCTCTTCTTGTTTATGATGTATCTGACTGTTCTCTGACCTGAGCTGTGGACCTAGGAAATGCTTTTTAAATAAAGACAACTTACATCCATACCTATATCCTATCATTTCAAACTCTCCTTTGTTGCACATTACTGTAGGACTAGGCTACAGGAATATCAGCCTGCACTGAACAAATTTGAGATGGAGCTGCTGCTGCTAAGGTTTTAACGTTATAATAAAATGACTCAAATAATGCTGCTTGTTTAGCACCAAATTACTGTATTTAATTAAACTTTGTCACTACTCAACAGCGCAACACATAATAAAGTTGCAACAAACAGCAATCACAGAAAAAATAATTAGGAAACAAAGGCAGTGAGAAATAAATATTTTATAAGTGGTAATAGTGTTAATAAAACAGTAGACTGCTAACGTTTCTGTGGGTTCCATTAGTATGTCTGGACAAAAGTAATGGCCAAGAATGCACAGCTGACTGTAATGTAGTACTGGCAAGAGCTGCACACCACTGGAAGATCCAGCTTATTAAAATGCATGAAGGGTATCTCTCCCTCAGCATGTATTAAAGTCTTGTGCACATGCAGGATGATCTGAGCTTGTCTGTGCTATTGGCAACACGGCTTGTCCTGCAAGGCCTTCTCGTCTTTAACCGGACACATCACGACGTCTTCTTGGATGGGCTCCAAAATGGCCGCTTCTCAGCTCTCTGCTTTCAGGTTTCTTCAGATCAACTGAGTGTGCTGCTCTGCTGCTACCATAATAAATGCTCTGTAAATGGGGCTTGGGTCACTAACACTATACAGAAGTCTGAGAAGCTTAAACTGTGGCCTTTCAATCATTACACAGAGGTCGAGGTGACCACATGCAGTACTTTACAAACTACTTTCAAATTTCCTCATTTTACCAGACAAGCCACGTCAGTGGTGGGACAAAATCTCACTGTCTTTAGAACACTGCTGTTTATAGTTATTTTAGAGAAAGATATGCAGATCTTCGATCATGAAACTACAGATATTAGACAAACACCAAGCCCCTGTTTGATAATGTGGACAGTGCCATCCAAAATCTTAAGCGTATGTAAAAATTTAGGGCACAGAGCTGGTTCCTAGTTTGAGACTAATTTACAATGACCTGTCATTCAAATAACATTACCCACAAACCAGTTCATTTGAATTGCAGAGGCGCTAATGCATAGATCCACGCAGAGTGAGCTTTCACCAAATGTAAAAAGACATCCTCTATAGAGGAGCTGGACATTTAATGCAAGTGCAGGAAGTGAGTTCTTATGCAATGCCTTGCATTTTAAAGATTATGAGGAAAAATTGTATTTGCCTTTTTTAGAATAAACACACGCACATGCAGTTCCTAGAATGGCTTGCTCCAATGACCATCCTCACTCACTCACTCACTCACTCACTCACTCACATGCAAGGTTTTGTTCCATATATATGTATTCCAAGATTGCACTGTACATTTTGGCCATAACATAATATCATGATACTTCAAGAAATGTTCTCAATACACAATGTCACAATATTTATTTTTTTCTTACATCTGATAAATTGAAAACAAACAAAAATAAACCAGTAGTGCTACATTTAAAAATGTAAGCACATAATAATTTTATTTAGTATTTCACACACTGCACTGCACTAAATCCAATGAAACAAACAAGACAAATTATGTAATCTTTGTAATGAAACATGCAGTAGGTCAGTGTTCTAGAATGTTCTAGACATGCTCAGAAAAGCTTGTTGTAATGTCACATAATTTATCACAATAACATACATATTGTCATACTGCCCAGCCCTACATTCAAGTGTATTTAATAACTACACTTCTCATATTTTTCATATGGAAAGAGTTGCTCAGCAAGTTTTACCATAATGAAAGTGAAAGAAACAACAAAAAAACTGCTAAATGGACAAAGATGGAGGAAATTCTACAAAACTAGCAGAAATATGTTTTTTTTTTCTAAGACAAAAAGAGAAGCATGCTTTTGGTATCAAATCTTCTCTCATGCCTCATGTGGTGGCTGTTTTCCAAGTTCTCTAGTTTTCTAGTCAGTTCATGCTAGTAAATTGAATTAAATTTACATAGTTTCTTCTACTATTTTTGTGCCTGGACAGTGCCACGCCCTAAAGTGCATATTCATGAAATCAGTGTTTTAAAATCTGCAGCTCAGTGACTTTTGCACACACACTGATCAACTGTGAGTGCATTTGTGTGTGTAAAATGCATTAGTGCCATCGTACATGTTTAGTAAATCTGGCCCATAGATTATCCTGCTGCCTGCTGCAATGCTCACCCTATCAATTTGCATATAGATCAGTTTTCATCCACCATCTTTGTTGGTGACATATAGACATGATTAAGACATGTTTTTCTTACACTGTTTTCACACCTGGTGTGTTTACTAAGGTCCGAATCAGAGCGTTTATTTGATTTAGTTGGTTTCACACTGCAATGGCTAAGCGCACAGAATTATACATGTCAGTGTTTGTTTATTGGTCAGAAATTTTGCATTGATTCAAGTGCGCACCCAAGTATGGGTGGAGTGTTCACACCTGTCAAAGTGAAACAAATAAAAGAAAAAGTTTGATAGGTACGCACCAAACAAGGCAGGTGTGAAAGCGCCCCTAATACTCCATTTTAATGGATCAGCACCTCCTGTGGTCATGAAAAATGTACTGGTTGACAACTCTGCTGAGCTGTGGACTTGCGTACACAAGATGTACAAGAGTGGAAAGACCTGAAAGGTGTTAATACCAGCACTATATTCCATCAATAACTGCGTAATGTCTTCTGTTGCACTGAGCGCCAGCTATGTAAGTCATGTGTGTCTGTATGTTCGTGTGATGTCAGCAGGTTGCATGAGGTCAACAGGCACAGTTAACACATTAAACAAATTGACCTGCCAATCTGGCATGAGAGAAAGAAAGAGATAAAGAGACAGTGGCAGAAACACAGTGAGAGAGAGAGCATCTGGCCCTGCTGTGTGTGTGTGTGTGTGTGTGGGTGTGTCCTGCCCTGGCTGTGAAGATTACACCTCTGAACCTGTTCACTCAGCAGTGTGAGCTGTGCATCCCACCCCCATCAGCGTGCCACTGGCTGAGCCACTGTTAGCCCCTGCAGCACAGACACAGATGAAGCTCCCCCTAATGCCAGAAACTTCTCACGCCTGCCGCAACCTGCTCAACCCTGAGCACCTTGGCCGTCTCTGGAAATTAGGCGAGCTTGAATCTGAATAGAAAACACAGCTCTGGAGCTCAGAAACACATGATGTATCTGTAGCTAAGTGTGCTTACACTGGGCTGAGGGCTTATTTTCACCCTCCAAGACTGCCGCCAAGCCATAGCCTTTCTCCTAACCAAACCAAATGCTCTGATTTTTGACAGTTATGACCTTGCTTAGTATAATGTTATTTACGTCATGCTACACTCTAGACAGGGAGCAGAAAATGGACAAATAAAGGTATATGCAGTACCCGTCAAAAGCAGCGACACCTATGGATTTTTCACATTATAGAAATATTGGCCTTCTACCAAGTGGAGCTATTTAGACCCAGCTTACATTACTGCACAACTGACTGGCTCAAACGCAGTAACGAGGGCACATATTACACTAATTCACTTTTAACGAGGCACACATAGGCTGATATAATTAGGCAGATAATGACTGCGGTTCAACATTTTCCAGCTCTAAATTTCACCAAAGTTCTAAATGAATATCAGTGGAGAGCTGGGCACAACTTCACACATTAATTTTTGTTCTTTTTTTCTCAAACAATTTGAACAATACAGAGCAGGAGCCATAATTCCTTATACAAGCAACCTACATCATCTCTGCCACATAAGAAAATATAAACTATGTTTCAAGCACCTACCATTTTGTGAGGAGTTCAGCTGTAAGTGGCATGAGTGGAAATATTATGACTCACTTAATAGGTCAGGGTAATTGTAACTGACTAAGGGGCTAGCAGTCACTGGAAAAAGTTGACTAAAATCAATGCAGACACAATCAATATAATTCTATGCTTTAAATGTGGCAAATTTCTTTTTGACCATGGAGTAGAATAGCACACTAAAATTGAAATATATATATTTATATGACATCTACAGTACATCTTTGATGAATCTGTGAATAAAAGTTATAAAAGAAAAAGTTACTTTAAATTTATATGGGTCTACGAACTTCTCTAGATGCATACATTGTAGCGCTTAGTAACACTCTCGTGCGGAGGCTGTACTTCAGCTGGCTACTCTGACTCCAACTTGATGATATGCTTCAAAACAGTGCTATATTACAAGCACAAAGTGGTGATTAAAATAATAGCGATGTGAATTCTATAATTTATACACACAAGATTTATGATGAAAAAGTTACTGTGATGGGTGAATGTTGAGTCTGTCTGACTGCTGTGATAATTTGCAGATGACTGTTTTTCTTGAATCTGTTTAACAACATAAATTATCTGTGTTACATTTTATCACACATTAAGTTGAGTCCCATGCTCACCTACTCGTTGGAGGAGCAGCTGAAAGAATTTTGGAAGTGAATTTGTAGGCACTGATTTCACTACTTCTGTTTTCCTTACTAACTAACTTCCAATATTTTAGCATAAGGCTTCAGATCATGCATTTTAGATTGGCATGAAGTGACCAGAAGTGACAGGTACTGAACTTCTGAAATGTAGCCCTGATATTCACTGATGATGTACATGACCTAGGCAGGAAACAGCAGCTTGCACCATGCCCTACCTATACAACCCACTGTCTGTCTTTACTAAGGAGGGATGGAGAGAGAGCATAAAGCATAACAATTTAAATATAGACTTCTGTTGCCTTATCATTGCACTCCAGAGAAAAGGGAATGGAGAGAGAGACAAAAAGAAAGACAGAGAGAGAAAGATACCTCTTTCTCTTCCTGTCACAAGCCTGATGTGTATCTTACAATGACTGTGCTGGTGGGGGATGACTGCATAAACATGCGTGTGTATGCCCATGTTTGTGTGTGTTTTTTGCCTGCTGCTCTTATGTAATAAGGGTCTTTGAAAAGCAGCGAGTTTTGGAGCAGCATGCAGTATTAGGCGCTAATGGAATGAAACGGCTGTGGAGGCTTCTGTTAGAACCAGCTTATGTTTCCATACACATAATACCCCCATTCTGCTGCCCCGTACACACTCGCAGCTCAGCGGAGTACACTACAGTAAGCCCATATGGATATAATGACCTTGAAAATACCATTACAATGGGACTTGGAGCAGTAGCTGCAGTGGATGAGAGAGCTTGGCAGGAGCATAAATACTGTTTTGTGCATGGTTGCTGTAGCAGATCTGAGGGGCCAGACAGTGTGCAGGACAAGAGGCTGAACATTACTGTTCTAATCCTGTAATGGATGGAGTGAGCTGGAAAAGAGACAGCAGGATTCCTACTGCTAATTCCAGCTCTGTTACTACACAAACATGCAGCCAGCAATTACACACAGACCACTCAAACCCATACTGAAGCTACTGTATGTTTTAACAAGCATGATGGACTCCAGTCCTGGAGTCTGGGTGAGTGTCTTTCCTAACAGGTACTCTATGGCACCTGACTCAACTCAGCTAATCAGCTAATTATAAAGCTACATAACAAGCCCTTTGTGAGGTGACCCAGGTGTCTTTCCCCTCTCTAAAGCTTAAATAGAAAAAAAAATCAAACAGTTTTCCCATTATCCAAAAATGTATCTGATTAGCCAAAGATGAGTTTGCTTCTTGTGCGTTGGAGCTGTGAGGCTAATGTAGGTAACAAGTAACGGAAGCTTATCCCACAGCAATTAGCGCAATGCCTAATTTATAACAAATCTGCCTCGAGAATACTACTCACAAACAACTGTTGCTCTGTACTTTGACAGCTGCAAAGAAACTGTTGGTCAATCGATGGAGTCCTCCTCACTCCATCTCAAGACGGCAATGGATTTTGTCTGCGCTTGATATTATTTCTTTGGAGCTTTCAGTTGCTCGTGTACATGGTGCTCAGTCAAGAACTATTAATGCTTGGAACAAGGCACTCTAATCAGTGGAATGTTTACTAGGCCCTTGCTAGAGTTACCTATTTGTTTTTGTATTTTAGGAGGAGTCCCGTTATTTGACCCACACATATGTTTATGTATGTTTATTTATTTATTTACTTACTTATTTATTTTCTCACTTTTTATGAAGTTATGTTCTGAAACATGTATGCGTATGTAGGTGTACCTATGTTTTTAAATGTACTGTCCGAAACACATCCAGGAGGGGGAGGTGGGGAAAGAAAGGGGATGTTATGTGTTCTTATGTTGTATGTATGCCAACATATAAGTTAAAAGACAATAAAACAATTGTTCACAAAAAAAGAATACTGCTCGCAAATCTCAAAAAGGTTGTAAATATGTGGCTTCTGACACTGGGTGGCACACCGTTATCTACACGAATGTACAAAAGCATGATGCATAGACAAAAACAGTAGTAGCAACCAAAGCCTGAATTATCTCTGTTTGTCCATTTGCAGGGATTCACTGATACCACTTTTGCCACAAATATCTGCCAGTATCTTGCCACTACTACACTTACCATATACATGCACTCTGCAGTTCTACAATTACAGACTGTAGTCCATCTGTGTCATTGTTAGCCCCCTTGCACCCTGTGCAATGGTCAGAACCCCCACAGGACCACCACAGAGCAGGTATTATTTGGGTGGTGGATCATTCTCAGTCCTGCAGTGACACAGTGGTGGTGGCATGTTAGTGTGTGTTGTGCTTGTACGAGTGGATCAGACACAGCAGTGTTACTGGAGTTTTAAAATGTCTCAGTGTCACTGCTAGACTGAGAATAGTCCATCAAGCACAAATATCTAGCCAACATCGTCCTCTGGACGGCCCCCTTTGACCACTGATGGAGGACTAGAGGTTGACCAACACAAACTGTGCAGCAACAGATGAGCTATCATCTCTGACTTTACATCTACAAGGTGGACCAACAAGGTAGGAGTGTCTGATAGAGTGGACAGTGAGTGGACACAGTGTTAAAAAACTCCAGAAGCACTGCTGTGTCTGATCCACTCGTACAAGCACAACACACACTAACATGCCACCACCACTGTGTCACTGCAGGACTGAGAATGATCCACCACCCAAATAATACCTGCTCGGTGGTGGTCCTATGGGGGTCCTGACCACTGAAGAACAGGGTAAAAAGGTGGCAAACAAAGTATGCAGACAAACAGGTGGACATATCAGATACAAGGAGGTATACACGAATGTTACTGTCTGAGGATGCTTAGCTTAGTCTGATGCTTTCTTCTCTGAAGCCATTTCACTTAAGGCTGCTTAAAACAGCCTGTCTCACCAGATGCAAGTGACATTTTATGCATGTTTTTCCCCCAAAACATGGAGCTGTTTTGTCTCTCATCTGAAACCTGATGCTGTGGTCTGAGGATGTCCTAAAATGTACACCATACAGCACTGTGTGTTTTCAACCAGTGCATTTATGGCTTTTGCAGAGCTTTTACTGTCATGGTTAATTCTATTAACCATCACTGAGCATGGGCCTATCATAAGAAGTCAAAAACCACATATGCAAGTTTGTTTGAGATTGCTTAACAACTCGACCCATTTTGAGGCTGTTTGCATGATGCTGTCTGATGAGCATAAGCTTCCATTACTAACTACTTTAGCATTATAGGTCCAGTGCAAGAGAAAAGAAGCAAACAAAAGACACCAAACATGTCTTAGTTGATCAACTACATTTATGGTAAGAGGAAAACTATGTAAACATCATTTTTTGCCAAGCTACCACTTAAAATGTGTTCTTGTGTGGACATCCAAGACTGGATTTGGGAATCATTTAAACACACACACACATGCCTGCACGCTGTGCATTACCGCAGATGAGCTGGTGTTCTCGGAGGCTGCGGAATGCGAGGCCGTGGAGGCGCGTGGGATACACGCACACTGTCTCATTTCCCACACGTACTGATCTGGCTCTAGCCCACAGCAACAACCACTCCAACTGGCAGTCACAAAACAAGTAATCGGTACTGAAGTGCCTGATGAAACACACACAAACACACATAGGTTAAAAAGAGTAGTGAGAGGATCTGATTAGTTTATGTTTTTAAAACAGTGCTATCAGAAGGTGTATGTATGGAGAAGAATCACTGCATATTCTTACAGAATTCTCAGAGAATTCAAGTGCACAAACAGCCCCTCAGGCAGTGTGGAGAAAATATTTCCAGATAAGTTTCTGTAAAATATCCACAAAAAAAAACGTATCAGACAATCCCTGTTAAGCGCAAACAAAGGCAAAACACAGTCTACATCTACATTATTATAACAGAGACTCATCTGTGATAAAGAGCTTGAGAGGGTCAGCATGGGAGCATAGAGTTAGCACATTACTCACAGCTTAGAGAGATTGCCAAGGTCAAGAAACATCTCAGGAGAGAGGCAGCCAATCCGGTTGTTGGACAGATCCCTGAAGAGATAAGAACACACAGACAGCTCTTAAATTGAGATGAATTAGCTGACATTAAACTTTTAAAAGCATCACAGTGGATAAGCTAAGATTTGTGTTTATAAACATGACCCAGAGTTTGCTCAAACATACAGACACTGAAATCGTGTGGGTGTGTGCAACTGTGCATGTATGCATTTTTATGTTTTTGGGCAAATAAATAAGCTTAAAACATGAAGACGATGTGACAAATATGGACGTTTATATATGTGGGATTATTCTTGTCTTCATTTGTGAATAATGATGCAAACATTTAAAAGGTTTTGTTGCAAAACGCATTAAATAGCATTTACAAGAATTTTCATTTCATCATACATGGTTGGAAGTGGGTTTTACACACACAAGAAATGCCTGAGCTATATCATAATTGATACCTCCTTTATTAAAAAACATTTACATGTATTTTCCATTATATATCAGTTGTTGATGTTGTTTTTAAAATTTTGTCACGTCCAAAATTACAAATGGATATAGAGCATTTTGGAAAGAAACTGAAATGAGACTAAGACTCCAAAGTGAGTGGACTTCTAGCTGAGTGAAACATGGATAATGTATTTTTCAAAGAGTGCCTGGCATGAGCACCACTCCTGATCAGTTAAATTCAGATCAATACAGAGCAATAGCAGGCAGGATGTGCAAGTTTTGTTTATTGGAGTCCGGTTTAACATCAGGACTAGCAAGCAAAGAAGAAGAGCACTGAGATGTTCATGAAACAAAGGTAAAAACATGTGACATGAAAATATATGGTAAAAGAACAAACTATAGGAATAACAATCACTAGAAAACAGAGACTGAAACAAATAACAGGAAAGACTAACAGAGTAAAGGAAACATTAAAATATCAATAATGGGCAGAGACCAAGAGGAAAACGAAGGCATAACAATACCATTTACTATATATACTAAATAGTATGTCAACCACCTTTAGCAGTGCATTCATTAGTACTGTATAGTATAGTAGTACATGGTTTTAGATGCAGCCAAGGACTACAAACACATGGACATGTACCGAGAAACAGCTAGGGGCAATAAATAAAGGTGGAGCTTTAAATGACACAGAGGTGCAGTGCTTAGGAGGAACAAAGACACAACATGGAAACTGATCATGGAAACTGTAACATGCAGAAATAAATCAGTTATAAAGAGGTATTAATTTGTATTGTATTTATTATGATACAGATCAGAGTGAACCCTCAGGGCCATCTAGGTCTTTAGAGAAAAAATAAGCATGCAGCACGGGCTTCTAATGATTTTGGGGACTAATGTTCTTTTTTTCAATAGAATCAAGCTTGCATTGAAAGTATTACAGTACTAGTCTAGTTTTATTGTTACATTTTGGATTTAAAAAAGAGGTAAATTCTTTAATCACACTGTGCCGAACTGGCAATCAGAAATAGTCTTTCTCTGTGGTATCTAGGTAGATATAGCTAAGTGAGCTCTCCTATTAGTTAGGACTTCAAGAGCTGAAGACAAGGCCTAACGTGTTAGATTAACTATCAGCATAATTACGAAGTGATCAACAATCACACTTTGATTTTCAATAGGCAGGACCAATTTCATGAGAAAAATGTCATTCTAGGCCTTCTGGAAGTCCAAGGTATGTCAATGACTGTGAATACAAACATGAGCCTAATCAATGGGTTGTTAGATTCGGACAACAGTGGTCGCAGCTCTCTACCAGGCCTCTCTACTAAAAGACTGACTGTAGAACTGCTACAAGGTAAAAGAACAAGGATAAGGATATGGTTTGGGATACACAGATATATGTACAGGATACATCTGTATTTTATACGTGCGAAAGCTCTTTGACCTGTGTTCTGGTGCACCCCCTTCCACGGTCCATGGAGTGGACAGTGATTTATTCGGGGTCAAACAGTGAGATAAACTCTCTGAATTCTATAGGGACACCTTGGCTTTTAAGACTTCTCATCTGCGGATCAATAATGCTGACCAAAGCAGATTAAATTTTCACCTTCACCTACACCAATATGCATCTAAAATACCCAACTGGCAACCCACCTGACACACAGACACAAATCCCTGGCAAAAAATCCCTGGCCAAATTGTATATTTTGTTGATTTTTGTGGTGAAAAGAAGTAAACATATTCTCAGCAGCAAATGTTTTAAACATTTTCCTGCAAATGTTAATGCACAGTTACCTTTTATTAGGTAAGGTAATAAAACAGAATAAAATCAAATAATATGCGAAAGTTTGGACACTGTGCTAAGTAATTCATAACACTCCATTCGGCAGATATTACAGCTTGCAAATGAATGCTCTTAGTTCTGCAATGTCATTTGGCTGTCTTGCGTACACAGCATGTTAAAGATGTACCTACAGATTTTTAATGATGCTCAAGTCAGGGGACAATGTCATTTCAAAAGCTTCAGTTTGTGTTTCTTAAAGTAGTGCAGGATGGATTGTGAGGTATGTTGTGGATCATTATCCTGTTGTAGAATTCAGACTCCTTTTAGCCTCAGTTTCTAGACTTATTGTTTCATATTTGCATCCAGAATTTGCTGACAGTCCTCCATTGTTTTATCTACCTAAATGTTCCCAAAAGGCCTCTCGTTTACCTAGATGTTGTTCTGCACACTTCAGACACTGAATTTTGTGATGAGGTCACAGGTAAGGTTTCTTCCTAATAACACTTCCTTGCAGGTCATGTTTGTGCAAACAGTGCTGCACAGTAGAACTGTGCACCAGCATATGAGCAGCTCTATCTGAGTTTTCTTTGTCTTCCTGATATCGCCTTGACTTCTACAGCTCCCCTTGACTGCCATTTCTTAATGACATTTCAGATAGTGGAAACTACACGCTAGAAGTGCTTTCATATTTTATAGATTTTATTGCCTTCCCTGAATTATAGCCATCAGATCCTCTGTCAGCTGCTTATAGGAGACCATGGTTGTTGATTGTTAGCGCAAAGTCTGAAGAGTCAGAGAATTTATTATGCTCCAGAAGTGTCATCAGCTGACAACTCCTTGATTCTTAGAGAACAATTCTTGTCCTGTCTAACCAGTTCTAATGAGCTAATTATGGCCTAAAGAGTTAAGTTCTAAGAATTTACTACTAAAAGGGTGTCCAAACTTTTGCACACGTCTTTTTTTTTGGTAACACTTTTGTCTAAGTCAGCTGTGTAATACCTGTGAACAAATCATTTAACAAATAATTTATCAGAAAACATCAATAAATGTTCATAAATAACAGTTCATGTAGTTGATATGTGCATTCATATTTATAAATGCTATAGATGTTTTTCTTTACATTCACAACAAACCTTTTCATTAATAAACAATGAGTTGTACAACATCAGTACATGTATACATATCATCACAGCAAATAACTGAGATGTAAAAGTTTCAAATAGTGAAACAAGCTTTATATTTTATCTAATATGTATTAAAAATAATAAAAAATCTTGTGGATAAGTAATTAGATAAATCGTTTGTGAAGTTATAACTCCTGTTAACAGATGTGAAAAAAATTCACATTCTGTAGATGTAGATCTTTTTGCAGTAGCTGAAGAGGAAACTGTTCATAATTAGTTCATGTTTCTAAAAGCGAGAAGTGTATGTCACGTGACTTGATCAACATGTAGTTGTAGTTTCTGAACTCATTTGGCGATGCCTCTCCAGCTGATCTTCAGAGTTTATCACATATTCAAAAACTTTGTTTGAGACAGAAAAATCAGGGCTAGAATTGCAAAGGGTATCAAATCTTTTTGAAGAAAGTGAAGATATGCAGAAACACTGCTGAATGAGAGCACAAACTACAACTATTTCACAGCAGGCACTTCTTGCATATATTTTCAAGTTAAAGTGTGATTTGGGAATCCGGCAGGCTTTTACATTCCTCCATGTAGAAGGTGCAATGTGTGAACATTTGCATACATTTTATACATTAAATCAAAAATGGCAAAAACGAGTAAAAAGCTTGTTTTTTTTTTTTTATGGAGGAGGTGAGCCTCGTCTGGGCTTGACTGCGTAACGTGCATTGTTAGGTCAACAAGTCGTCAGTCTGCACAATTCTGAGATTTTGAATTCTAAGACGTTACACTGCCTTGTTTTGAGCATTACAGCATTTTACAAAACAAAGGAAACTATTTAAAAAGTTATATATAGTTTCCACTTTAGCTACTGCAAAAGGTATATAACTAAAGAACACACATCTGTCAGTAGGAGCTATATCTTCACACATGAGGCATTTAATTACTTAGCAGAAAGATATTTTGTCATCATACACACGTACTAGACAAAAGCATATGTCACTTTTGGAAAGTTATGCAATTTAGCAATTTGCTGCAATGATTTGTATGCATGCTGCTGTACAATTCATTAATTATAAGTAAACAGGGTCACCATGTACAACACATTCATACATATGAATACACACAACAACTACATGAGCTGTCATTTAAAACATTTGTGCATTTTCAAATTCTGATTAACTATTTATGTCTTCACAGCTATTAATAGTCAGTACATGTTTTATGGAACAACGTTATTATAAAGTGTTACTTTTTTCTATTTTTTAAGTTGATAAAAAGCAACTGTGCATTAACCTTTTTAGAAAAAAAGATGTAAACAGTTTTCATCAGAGGTTTTGATTAGTTCTTTTTACTTCAAAAATCATCAAAATATGCAATTTGGCCAGGGTGCCCAAACTTTTGCATACAACTGTACATACATAACACGTTTTCTCAGTCCAGAAGCAGCAACTCACAATAAAGTTTTTACAACAGGGGTCATCAGTTCCGGTCTTGGAGAGCCAGAGTCCAGCACTGTTTGGTCATTTTTGGCCCTTGCTCAAACACACCACATTCAACTCAGCTAGACAGTTAGCAGGTTTAGCAGATGTGTTTGAGCAGGAAAACCACCAAACTGTGCTGGACTACATCCCAAATGTCTGGAGTTGATGACCCCTGCTGCAGAGTACTGTATATTTCCAGTTCTGAACTGAATAGCCGTTTCAGAGCATGTGCGAGTGGGTTTAAGAGTGCAGGTTCTGAAATTTGTGTTCATGAGTGTGTGTGTGTGTGTGTGTGTGTGTGTGTGTGTGTGTGTGTGCGCGCTCACACTGTGGCTGTGGCACTGTGCCTCTGCTCTGTGTAATTAAAGATATGGCCAGAAGCTGAGCAGTGGGAGAGGCTCAGCCCCTTTGCTGTAATCACCAGTTGGGAGCTCTTAAATTAGCACCACACAGCATTCAGGACCTGGCACTCTCACATTAGCACCATACAGCATTCGGGACCTGGCTTTTGCATTAGTGCAGCGCAGTAGCCAGGACCTGGCACAATCAGCAGGCTAAAAGCCCCTAATCAGCACCGCATTAAACCAACCATACACACCTTCCACTGACCCACTGCCATCTGAGTGTAAGACAGAGAGAGAGAGTTAGTGAAAGTGTAAAACAGTTGGGAAGGGGGTTCCTGCTTCTAAGCGTGGGTGCACTTCAGTAAAAGGCTGTGGATCTGTTTTATTTATCTTGTTTTCAGACTTCAAGAGGCATGAAAAATTGGAAGTCGACACGCTCTCTCCTTCTACACGGTGAGACTGCATTTGTGCGTGTGAGTATTCTTTGAGTACACAGATCTTAAGCAGTCGTCATGGCCTCAAAGGGCATCTCTTCTGTTATCAGATGATGCGGCATCAGTGACACATCAAGCAGCAGGGCGTCCCGCGTACCTTCATGCATTGCCTCCACCAGCGTCTCGTCTCACATTTCTCGTTTCCTAAAATTGTCACTTTTGTTCTGAGAGCGAAAAGAATTTTTTCCCCTCCTCAAAGCTTCCTCCAAACTGACTCTGTCATGCAGTACTTTCTCTGCTAAAACAGACTTCCATCTCCAGTCTCTCCCTCATTCTCTTCACACTGTTGCCTAAACTGCTCAAAAAGTTTTCATTAACGCATAGAAGATGCAGTTATTGCCAGCAAATCTAAAGCATGCTGGGATTCTATATTAATACTTTCTCACACAGCTCACTGAAACAAGCAGAGGAATTCTATTGAATATGCAGATTCTAAACTTTTGGTCAACATTTTGTGTTCGTAAGCAGAGGAGGACATTTTATAATGTTATGAATTTGATTAAAAGGTCTTGTCAAATTAGTCTTGTTTTACAGAAATCTTCTACATATTTGACATGTGCTCACCATCAAAACCAATGGACAGTGTGGTGTGTCTTCATACAGCATGCAAAATGAATGTAAAGTAAGTAATTATGTAACTGTGTAACCCTTATGACCCCAACACATTTCTAGAACACGATTCCTGATGCTTTTCAGAGTCATACGGTTATTGATCAACGAGTGCGTTTAGATGCACACACACACACACACACACACACATTTTCTAAGCCGCTTATCCTTCTGGGTCGCAGGGGAGCTGGAGTCTATCCCAGCAGTCGTTTGGCGGAAGGCAGGACACACCCTGGACAGGTCCCCAGTCCATCGCAGGGTGCGTTTACATGCACTTCATCATATATCATAATCATATGTAGTATAATCAGAATTCTTCAGTTATTTAAGTGGTCATGTAATCAGCTTACTCCGATTTCTTAGATTGGATAAAGGCCTAGAAATCCGATTAAGGAATCCAATAAAGAAAGCTGGATTTTTGCTCATTAATCAGTTTTTCAGTAACTCTGATTTCTTTCAGTGTTCTCAGTCTGTGCATGTGCGAAAACAGCAAGCAGCATTTAACACAGCAAACATTAGATGGCAACTGAACACTTGGAGCTGAACTCAAATACATGCTTGACGAAATTATATATGTAGATGATGTATATTCATATTTTATGCTGAAGTGACATGGCATGATGTTTGAGTTTTATGTTACGTTCACGTCACGTCTTCTGCAAAGAAGAACCCTGATTACTGCCTGACTCATGTCGACCTAGTATTTTCCCATTACCTGATCACCAAAGTGCATGTAAGCGACTGAATATATTACTGACAAAATCTGATTTTCTGCAGTTATCGGATTACAAAATGCATTTAAACACATTCAGTATTTTAAATAAAGTGTGTCCCACCTCTTTAATAAGACATTAAAACCAAGGGATACACATCAACTCAGAGCTCTCAGTTCAGGACAGAGGGTGAAATGGGCATTGAAACTGTAAAAGGCCTTGCAAGTGTAATATTTAAAATCATTACAATTACAATTCATAGGAATACAGCATATGAAACAAACTGGCTACAACAACTAGAGTTCTTTATCATTATTTCTTAGTGATGAAAATGATAAAAATCAAACCTCCTACCCATTTAAGGTTGCATTATTAATATAAGAACCCTATAGCTAGCTTTTCTTGACTGCCTAAGACTGCACAGTACTGTTATTGATGTATGATTGATGCATCTCATTTAGAACTTCATTAAAACAATGACTCCTGATTCAGAAGTGCAAAAATACTTTTTTTTTTAGATGTTTTTATTGAATTTCCACTCAGCAGTGGGGAGAGAAGACTATCTGCAAATGTGCACAGTTCAGTGGCTGTGCTTTTTCGTACTTACAGCCTCTTCAGCATAGCAAGTCCGCGGAATGCTCCAGGCTCCACTGTACTAATCAAATTACTCCTCAGATCCCTACAGAGAGAGAGAGAGAGAGAGAAAGACAGACATTGAGATAGACAGTGATATAGAGATAGAGAGATAGAGAGAGACAGAGAGATGGAGAGAATGAAATTGACAGCGTTACAAAAACATCAAAATAGTTAACAGAGAGATGCTCGTAAACTGGAGAACTAATGAATAAGCGCACAATCATGAGATTTAATCCTCACATCACTGTGGGTTTGGAAGCTGCATGAGGGAACCAATTACTGCTCCACATAGCGGTTCACCCTTCAGTAGAGACGGCCCATAATCCACAGTATGCACATACACACAACTTTGATAAAGTGATGAGGCAGACCACAGTGGACATGCTCATTCTCTTTACAGTTCATTTCCCTCAGTGCGTACGCTGTGTTTAGAGGAACACTGTGAAGGAATCCGGCTCTGCTGGGCATTTTGAGTGTCATGTTTATGCCCACATTTCATAAACAAGGTCCAGTGGACTGAGCTGCACTGTCTGCTAATGTGCTGGGCTATGGAAGTGTAATGTCACACTACGATGACCTCATATCAAAATCTGACCATCTCGGAGTCTCAGTGACCAGCCGTCCCTTCGGGCCTCCCCCTCACTCTCCACACACCCAGTGGCACTAAAAATACACTCTATGATTTCAGAACTTGACTCTGTGTTTTCCTCCAGGGCCAAAGCAAACTTCCTGAAATTGTGTCCTTGCATTTCCTGCGTCTGTCTGAGGGGAGTGACAGGAATGTGAAGGAGGTTCTGGGAGCTGCAGCTGTGCACGTGGAGGAGACATAACCGGGATACAACTGCTTGAGTACTCTTGACGCCTGCCGATCAGAGCCTCAGCTTAAACTGGGTGGAAAAAGTCCAATCACAAGAAGTAGCTGCTCCGTTTGTACAAAGGCCTTGACCAATCAGTCACTGGCCAAAGCGAAGCATCTGGCAGTCTCTCAAATACGGTATCCACCAAAGACCTGCTGAATCACAGTCAATATTTTTATTTACTTTTAGATTTGGCTTTTTTCATGTTCTTTTTTTTCTCTTTTTATTCCTACTCAATGTTTATATATTTATTTAATTGCCATAGTTTTGTAATTCACCTTCCAGTCTTGACACATTTCCTTAGTTTAGTAAAAAAACAGAAACCTGTTGATTAAAAACACACTTATTATGAAACTTATGCCTGTTGGCTGAAGCATCTGCTGGTGTATTCCTTTAATTTACACAATTTTTGTATGTAATACAATAAATCATGACACAGCTAAAACAACTCCCTTTGATATTTCAGACCAAAATCTGCCCTTGTCGAAATCTGTAGCCCAGCGGTCACTGTAATATAGCCCAGGACTGATTGAATTCGGGTTAACATAAAACATTTAGCACCCAAATGAGAAGGCCATTACATGCTGATGAATGGCTGCTGTCTGCTTTTAATGGGGTGTGTCTCATATTAAATTGTTCACTTTAGATTTAAGAAACAGACTTGTTCAGCACCATTACATTTCTGCATCCTTCCATCCCTCCATCAGCCTCTTTCCCTGCTCTCTGCTGTTTTTCCATCTTTCATCAGAAGCATGTGTGCACTGAACACGTAAGCAGTAATTACACAAACTCTCTAAATGTGTCAACCACCAACACTGCTTTCAGTCTGCAACAAAATATGTGGGCTTGCTGTAGAAGAGCTGTGGTTCATGCTCACCTTCACTCATTCTCTCCTTGTCTGCCTATTTTTTGAGTAAGAGTTTGATTTATTTGTTGAAAGAGAACTGTCTTTTGTCTTATTGTCTACACTGTAAAAACCTTCTGTAGAAAAGGAAATTATACTAGCAAAAATTAAATACAGTTAAAACTAGTCACTTTTTTTAAAAACAGAAATTCTCTTGTCTCTTCATTGTTTCATCACAGGAAGACAGAGAAAACATATAGACCAGAAATTCAATGAGACACTGATTTTATGTTTTCACAGAACTGTAAAACAGGAAAATTTTGTTCGTATTTGCAACTGCTTAAGCACTCTACACCTGCTGATCAGAACCTCCGTTTAAACTGGGTGGCAAACATCCAATCGTAGACAGGACAAACAAGATATAGTGTCACTTTTGTACAAAGACCTTGACTGATCAGTCACTGCCCAAAGCAAAGCCTTTAGCAGTCTCTAAATACAGCATCTAGCAATGGCCTGCTGAAGCAAAGTTAAAAGTCAGAAGCTTTAACTATTTTTAAATTTTGCTTTTTTCCATTCTCTTTTTTTGTTTGTTTTTTTATTTCTTTTTTATTACTATTCAGTGTTTGCAAGTAAATGTGTTATGTTATATTTTGCTTTGAAATATAACGTGAGTTCACATGAGTTGTTAAGGACAGTACTGAGAAGGCAGAGTCAGCACAGCTTTTATACAGAGGCTACATAGGCAAGGCTGATGTTAGGTCCAGAAACAGTTGAAATAAACTTCTCTGACAAACTCATATGTTGGCACATCATCCGCTGAAGAGAAAAAACACCTGTAGAAGACGATGAGTGCTGCTCTGCTTGGCTGTAAATTTATCTCATTAGCTCATCTGAGGCAGTCTCCGTTATGTCACTCCGCTGATTTTGAATGATAAACATGTTTTGAAATGTATTCAATGCAATGAATGCACTGATGCAAAAATTTTGTGCAACGCCAGTGCTGTCACCTAAAAAAGAAAACTGTAGTTCTACATTAACTTCTGCTGGAATGCGTTAGCTGCTGAAACAGCTAACCAAATATCCTTTATGTCCATCAAAACTATGCACATCCCTAGTATATACGGATTTTTCTCACTTTACATAAAAAACTACCTGTAAATTTAGTTTTATTTGTAATAAATCATGTATATGTACACAATTCTGTTAATTAAAGACAAAAAATATGACTTCTGTACCCACCAGTATTTCTTCCAATTATCATTTGAAGCTGCAGATGAAGCAGACAGGGTAATTATAGCAGGATGTTGAAATGGAAACTTGTTTTTCACCCTCACAAAAGACTAAATATTTTGTATCAAATTAATTTCTCAAGTCCACAGAAACACAGCTGTAAACACTGGACCATCACATGCAGTAGCACTTGTGTAAGAGCAAGCCCTCCAGCTGGTGAACATCAAAACCAATGTCAGAAACAGGAACAATGTTTCTTCCCTTAAACTCTGTTTGACGTATACACTCTCTCCTCACCAAGGCTATACAGTATCAAGGCCTGGTGCTAAACTCCTGACAAACTTTAACAGTTGCAGTTAATATTTCACCAGCAGCAGCACCCAATTAACTGTCCTCACAGCGCGTGTGTGTAACTCTAAGCGCGTGCCCATTCAGCCTGACTTATATACTGCTACACAACTCTACTCCCACTGTGACATTAATGTGGAGATTTATGTCCTAATGGTTGCACTCGCACCGCCAGGCCTCAGAGGAACATGCTGAGACGAAAGAGAAAGTGAGAGTAAGAGTGAGTGCATGCCGGGTTTGTGTTGCTACCGGAGAGAAGTTTTGGAAGTCCCTGAGAGTGGAGGTCAATCAGAGGACCTCCTGCCCGCACTGCAGCAGAGCCACCAGCAGAGGAGAGAGGTTTAGAGAGGTTGACAGAGAGCAGCACAGCAATCTAATTAATAACTAAATAATTAATAGCACTTTCACTATGCTAACAACACCCAACAGTTCAAAAGTTAGAAATCACATGGCATATATATATATATATATATATATATTCTTTTTATTATTTATTTATTTATTTATTTAAAATACCTGGTGCCCTTCACATTGTGTGTAAATTTCATGATGAATCCTTTTCCTGTATAGTTGTCATTTTGGAGACACAAGGTTTTCTTCCGACAACAGTGATATATATATATATATATATATATATATATATATATGTAAAAATTTGTCAAGTTATTATGATAAATTATATACAGTACAGGTCTGAAAAAAACTGGGTGGGAGCACCATGTTAAAACGGGACGAAATGGAAACTCGATATTGTTAAAATGTGATGACATTCTTGGGTGGCTGTTAATATACTTTTTGGAGTGGCGGGAGGAGGGGCAAGTATAGTAAAAAGCAAGCAAACTGAAAGCAAACAAACTGGTTATATATTATTGAAAACATTGATTCCAAACTTTTAAACTTTCAAACTTTGCTTCCAAATATTCAAACATAAGCCGTGCTGGGATCCTTGCACTGCAAGACACAAAAACAAACTTCTGCTAAAGACATTTCAGGGGTCATTTTGGCAGGTGTGTTAGACCTAAAGCTGATTAGGCTGAATACTGTCATTTCATAGCAAGGATATTTCTTTGACAGTCATAAATCTAAGAACAAAGTGAAGTGCAGATAACGAGGCTGGTCTCTTTAGACTGGTATTTCAATAAACAATTAGATATCGTAGCCTCCGGAGCAATAACAAGCATTACACAAGAAAATGACTGTGGTTGGAGACCATCTGAAGAAAAGTTCTATAATTGCTGTCTTCTATACTGCACTGCTTTCAGCAGGCTCAAATATAATTCAGTGAGGTTCAAAACAAACAGAGAGCAGCGAAGAAGAGAGCTTTTGTTGTGCTGTGACGCTGATTTACTGGTAATGATGCTTGTTGAGTAAGACATGGTTATCTGAGGCAACATTCAGGTCAGAACACTGGGTATTCCCACACAGGCAGAGTTTTCATTGCTCTAATGAACAGCAAAAAAGAGAGAGACGAATTCCTATTTCAAGTAAAGCGGAGTGCGGGAGAGAGCAGGAAAGAGCGAGAGAAAAAGAAAGGCATATCCGCACACAAATACACACATACACACTTCAGCCACTGCTCTGAGCTCAGAGAGGAAACACGGCTGGTGTAAAAAGGTCATTTAGGTGTCTGCAGTGACATTGCTGTCTGAAATACGGCTTCCTCTTCCTATTTCCTTCTAGAGATGGGTCAGACATTACAAAGAGCTTTTGAGTCAAGGGGTTTGAACCTCACTCAACACATCAATATTTATGATTACAAGGAAC